GGTGATGTTGGTGTTAGTGGTATTAGTGGTGGTAGTGGTGGTAGTGGTGGCAATGGTGGTAATGGTAACAATGATGGTAATGGTGGTGATGATGTCGAAGTACTCGCTAACGCTATATATAGCGATCAAGATGACGACAGTGAGGATGATGACGAGCGGGGACCAGAAGACGATGCCGCGTGGCTAAGTGGGCTCGAGGACACCAAACCAGTCCGCAACCAGACCGTCGTCCATAACGTCATCACAAAATGCCGGGAGATGCTAAAGATGTTGAAGTTCTCCGGGAGGGCAGCTCGCATCATGGAGGATGTTCGCAGCAACATCCCTGATGAAGAGAAAGCTAACCTAAACTACGCAATAGATACGCCCACCCGCTGGAACTCAACAGTGGTAATGTTAGAGATGGTGCTTAAGAACGAGGCCAGCTTCGACCAGTTCCAGTTCCAAGCCAAAGTTAAAGCTGACAAACTTCAAGGCCAAATATGGAAAACAGTATGCAATTAGGGATTCGCCACGATAGATTATGAAAACATGCGAGACATTGTCAAGGTTTTGCGACCCTTCTTCAAAGCGACGCTTCCGAAGCGTGCAAGACTCTGGCAACTACACACTATCCCACACTCCCGAGGCTATACTCGGTGGTGGGATTCCTCAGGAGGTTCTTGGAAAACGATGGCAGCCAAGCAAGCTCGCACTCTACTTGCTTTTACAAGAACCTCTCGAGACTCCTGGGACCTCAAGTGGATCGTTACCTCGAGTACACTAAGATCAACAAGTGGGTGCAAGCAGGCAATTACTTACTACCTGAGACGCGGAGCCTATCATATCCTGGGCTCGCCAAGGTCACCGACGAAAACGGAAGAGCGGCGGTCACCAAGTGTATAACGGATATGGGCTGAGGAGCCAATGATCAACCTGACGATATGCAGAACAAGCCGATATCATCGGATGAGGAGGATGTTTCCGCAAGCTTTGCTACAAGAGCGAGACGACTACAGCCAATATGTCATTACGGACTGAACAGGCCTTGATGAAAGCGCTGGCGGATGCTCCGGTCTCCATCGCCATGTATGCCTCGGATCCCGATTTCCGCTTTTACGAATC